TTACACACACACAACTAACTTGAAGAAGAAACTCAAAGGGGGGAGAAGTAAGTAAATTCCAAAGAAAATTAACAGCTCCAAGGGAAATTCCAGAGAAATTTCATATCTCAAATAGATATCTTAATGCCAGATAAATTGCAGAGAAAATCAACATACCAGAGAAATTTCATTTTTATAAATTTCTCTGGCTATCGCATACAAATCTGGGAGTCTAATGTGGTCAGAGATATTTCAAATGCTAGAGAAAATTTCGCATGCGCACACACACAACTTCCAAAGTTATGTCATATATGTATATTTGTTCATATGAGTTTGTTAGTATACTCAATTTGACTACTCCAGTGGATAAACTCATAAACAAGCATAAATTTGAGTAAGAGCATTATCAATTCTCAATCTCTTTTGTGTATGTGTTTGTTAAAGGTTGCCTGAAATTCCTCTGTGAAAAGACATAATTTTCTCCAATTTGGTTAAAACACAGAGAAAATTATGAGCAAACCAGAGAAAATTAGTCAAATACACAGACAAAATTATAAGCAAATTACAAAAATTTGTGAGCAAATTAGAGAAAATTCATCCCAGAGAATTTTCAAAACACAAAAAATTAGAAAAGTTGTGCAAATTAGAGAAATTTCAAACTAGAGAAATTTCAAAATATAGAGAAATTTGTTTGGAATTTCTTTATGCTTTGAAATTTCTCTAGATCAAAATTTCTCTAGGTCGAAATTTCTCTGAAAAAATGTTGAGGGACCCTAACCACTATGAAAATATTGCATGTCCTTTATGTTATAAAATCTTAATACAAGGGACCTTAAAAAAAAAATTTCCCTTTAAAGTGACAAACTTAAAAATTCATAATTTATTTTTTTAGTAGGGTATATATATATATTTATTTATTTATTTGGGTAAATTACACTAACACAACATGAGATTTATATTAATACAGATCTCTCACTTACGTTTGAAAAATTACACTTACTCTCTTATCAAATTAAAATGACATATTTGTCTCGTAGCCTTTATACATATAAAATAATAAAATAATGCTGATATTTTGTTCATGTCATTTCAAGAGAAATAACAATCATTTTCTTTGGTTTAACTCGCACAAAAAATTTAAAAAAAAAATTCGTGTTTTTTATTTTTACTGAATTTTTTGAATATTTTAAGAAATTATTTTTTTTTAAATGCATATAATCTAGATATACTTAAGAAATATAATATTTTGTGATTTTTTTTTTAAATTTACCAAAAACAAAAAAAAAAATAAAATTATAAAAATTTAATAATACTGTAATAAATGTGAATGATGGTGTTTAGTAATACTGTAATAAATGTGGGTGAATAGTCGAGGAAAAAAATGAAATGGAAATAAAAATGAAAAATTCTATTCATGTATAAAAATTTATACAAAAAATATTATAAAAATGTTGTGATAGTAATATTGTTGTAAATATAAATCATGTTTATGGGTGTTTGGTTTTAAAGTGAAATGACATCATTAAACTATATAATTGTGTTTGAAAATTTTATATAAAACTTATGTTTATATATCATCACTCAATAAGAATATGTTCACACTACAACAAAAACGCACTTTAGTGACACTATACTAGTGCCATGTTTTTAGAAAATGCCACAAAAATAATATTTGGTGACACATTTTAGAAAAATGTCACAAAACCACAAACAGAAAAGGCTCTAATGGCGTTTCAATAAAGAAGTGCCCCATCACTACAATAATAATGTGATTTAGTAATATCAATTTTACAGCATTTTAAAAAAGAATGACACAAAAAATTATTTTAATGACATTTATCAATAGATGCCACTAAACTACGTAGGTGTAAGTAACTTTTTATGGCATTGAGTGAAAAGTGTCATAAACAAATAATTTTTATGACATTTTATGAAATGCCACTAAACCAAAATCTTTCCAAATTATTTAATGGCATTTTTTGAAAAAACCAAAAAGGTCAATATATTCCCAATTTTTTTAAAAATGCAGTCAATAAAAATAAATAATAAATAAATTGAACTCAATATAATATGTTTTTTTAAATCTATTTGCCACATGTACAAAATTGATTAACAACCTTATATGAATTAACTGAAAAAATAAAATTTCTAACAACTCTCTTATACAATGATAAAATTACTTGAATTTTTAATTGAAATGAATTTATAATATCCTCAAAAATTGTTAATTGACTTGATGATTTATTAGTAAAATGGGCCATTTATTATGAAATTGGAAACTTCAAGGAACATGATTTGGTCTTTGTGTCATTTTCATTCCTATAATTTCAATTGACTCGATTTTAACTCCAAATTTACAGATTTATCTCAATTTATTTCAATTGTTTATAATTGTTAACAATTTTTAATAAAAAAAAATATGCATATAAGTGACATATGTCATTCTTTTTTAGGCAAAAGTATAAATTTGCTTAACTCAATGAATTAATCTCAACCCATTCAGTTATCATTTTTTATCAAAAACACTAACGGTATTATCAATTGGACCAGATTAACACAGAATCTAAAATTAAAGGTAGAAATTGATCTAATTAAAAATTTAAGGAACAAAATTGATATTTTGTTTTATTTAAAGTGCGAACAAACTTATTTAAAAATAAATAAATAAGTAAATAAATTTGTTTTTGGTACATCACTACTATTCACCACATTACCAATTCTCCACTATTTTATTTTTTATTTTTTAATTGAAGAAATAAGGAAACAGAGGAAAGCAAAATATTGAGGTTAGAGACCCAATCCAAGAGTTAAAGCAAAAGAAGCTAGAGTAGAGACCCAATCCACTGAAATTGGCGAAGTAAAATTAATTTTTGTGGGAGAAAGAGGCGGCAGCGAAATGATGAAGTAAGGGTTTATCATTCTTCATCTTTCATGCCATCCTTATCTACCATTTACACCACAAATTTGCAATGTTTTCATCTTCTACAATCTACTGAATTCATTAGGCATTATTTCTCTCTTTCTCACTCTCACACACACAAGCAAACACACACAATACTTATAGCGATTCCGGTTTTAACCCAACCCTTTTTGCATCTTGGACTCGGGTTTCATGGTTCCGTGTTATTGTTCATATCTTGCTTCCTTTGTATTTCCTTAAATTTGGCCATTGAGTTGTTGTGATTGCGTTTGGGACAGGTTGGTTGCTTGGTTTCCAAACTTTTGTTGTCTAGAATTTTGTTCCTCCACTCAACCAGATTTTGCAAACTCTCAGTACTTTTGCAGGTCTGCAAAACTACTAGGAGAGTGTATTCTACGCTCGAGTAGTTCTTCTTGCACTCGAGCGGGCTCAGCTCAAGCGACCTTTCTTGCACTCGAGAGTTGGTCTATTGTTTGCAAAACTTCTGGGAGTGTATAATCTGCGCTCGAGTGATGTCGCTCTTTTTCATTGTGTCTTAGTGCTCTAGCGTCACTTATTGTGCTCGAGCGGAACAATTCATTGTGTCTGACGCTCGAGCATCACTTCTTGCGTTTGAGCAGACTGTGTGTATATCAGTTCGCAGCAGTCCCTTTCTACATCACTTTTTCACTCAAAACCCTAGATCTAGAGCCTCTCTCTCTCTAAAACTCACTCTCTCTTTCTACATTTTCACCTAGATTCGTTGGTTTCTCCACCCAAGTGCCTTTGTTGAAAAGGTAGAGCACCTCAAGGGCTACGTTTTGATCCGAATAGATCTTAGTTTCGGCGTCTTTGAAGTTCATCGACTTCTTCCTTGGTCTTCTAAGCTTAAGGTGGGGACTTTCTACACTCTCCTATGATTTTTAACTTAACTATTTGTCGTTGTGCAAATAATGCTGGGATTTGGAGGATTTTAGACAAACTTAGGGTTTTGGCTCAAAATAAAAAAAGTGGTTTTTAAATAAAACTATTGAAAATGATTACAGGTGTAAATATGACGATGTGTTGTGTTAAATTTGTTGATTTTGACACATGGATTGGATTTTGGAAAGAAATGGAGTCCTAAAATGTTTCAAATAATTATTTTGTATAAACAATGAAATTGGTATTCAGAATGTGAAATTGAATAGATGTTTATGTAAATGGTGGAGTTGGATATGTATTACCTCTCACCTATAGAAATTTGGATAATTTATCTATCTTGGAAACTGTATATCGGTTTAGAAATATTTGTTTTGGGCTATCGGTGGAGGATAGCTATAACTGTTGTAGAAATTGCATGAGGATTAGATGAATTGAAACTAATCTCTTATTGATTGTTATTGAACATGACTGTGTTTTAATATATTGTATATGTATAATGTTTGGGAGGAGAAAGGGGATGGACTCCAGTAAATTAAGTTGGCTTGTGTGTTCAAGGTGAAAGTTCAAAAAATCGCGCATATACATGGGTGCCGATCCCTCGGATGAAATTTTTATAAAATGGCAAATGAATGTGTTTGTATGATTATTATATTGATTAGAGATCCACTAAATTGTATCCTCAATTTGGTTGATTGACTGAAATGGACTTGACTCATGAATTGAGATAAAAAGGGAATTGAGATAACATGAATTGTGATATAAAGCTTAGCGTGGCATGGTTTTGCAAAAGAATTATAAATGATTTTGAATCACAGGCATTATATATGAATATCATACATATATCTTTGTTAAGATTCATATATTGTGTTAGATTGTTTTTACTGGGTTTTGGCTCACCCTACTTGGAAAAAAATTATTTTCAGGTGTTGGTAATAGGCCTCCACCAAGGACTTAGCTTGGGAGGACTATGGAGCTAAAGGCTCAATTTTGTTTATTTTGTGTATAACTTTTGTACAAGCCTAGGGCTTTAGTTGTATAGAGCTTCTGACTCATTTTGTTGTAACCAAACACTGTCTTGAAAAGATGTAAGCCTTTAGGGCACATGAATATCTGTTAGCTTTCATTTCTTATTATTACTTGTAACACATGCTGTAAATTCAAGATGAACTATTTATGAAAGTATATCACATGTGTCACCTTTTGTATACTAACTCTGATTAATGAAAGCTTCCTATTTCACTTATATAACTTTGTACTAGTAGTTTGGAGTTGGATTGTATAATTATTTCTGGGGCGTTACAATATCTCCATCTTTGTCACTTATTTATGATGTTCTCGATTTAGGTATAAAACTTAATACAATATGAAAATCTAATCTTCTAACCCATGAATTTATTAATTTTCATCTTTTAACATCAAGGGTTAATTGCGATTTACTGTTATTGTATTTATATTGTGATTTTATATAATGTCTTGCAAGTGTTTGTTTAAATGCCACAATGATTCGTAAATAACACCAGTTGTCTACATATTTAAAATTGATGCAGATTGGAATTCGTTTGTACACTCCACCATCATTGTTAAATATTAGAATCTTCATAATATTATGGATCTTTTATTTTAAACTACTTACAGAGGAACAACATTTGAATTGCCATTAAAATAGTGATATTGCATTAACAAGAACCTTCAAAATTTATAAACCTAATTTTTTACTTTAAATTTTGTTTAGAGTTTGGTTAAAATTAAGAAATTGAAAAAGAAATCAAATGTTTGATCGGATTAGAATTTTGTCCTTCATGTTTATAATCTTAATTTCAGTTTTCTTTTTCAATTGATAAATGTACCCTTTTGCTTAGTTTGGGTTTCAATTGGCCTTTACGTGTTTGATAAATTGCCTAAAAGAGTTGCATACAAATGAAACATGTATGTGTGAATGTAGTTTATGTCATTTCACGTGTACTATGACTTCTTTATTTTTTAAATGGAATAAATTAGCTGATATAGTATATTTTTTAGATAAGGGTGAGAAACACAATTTTGGTGCTTCTTTTAGCTTTAAAAGTTTGAATGTTGGAAATAACTAAAGGTCAAGCAGGTACTGAATTTTTTTTTTCCCCTCAAGAACTAGTTAGGTGATGATATGCTTGTGTTGCTTGTACAGCTAAGTTTTATGATGCATTAGGCACTTTGTTTCTGCTTTCAAGCTTCCCTCTCTATGAATTTAGAATTTTTTATTTTTAAATAACAATATGTCTAGATCCCTTCCTTTATTTTTCATCATTTATAAATTCAGGTTTTGTTTTCCTAATTAAATTATTATATTCTTGCATACATCTTCATGGTTATGATGGTTGGGTTTTGAGATTAGAATATTGAAGGAATCTTTTTACTTGGGAAAGGGAGGAAGATGACAAGGACATTAATTTTTTATTTTTGTCCCAGATTAGAGGCAAAGGATAAAATGTTATGGACATGGGAATTTAATGGTCAATATTGTGTAGCTTCATTTGTAATCATCATCAGGCTTCTTATGGTCTCTCAAGGTCAGTATACAAACTGGTTTGGAAATCCTTCATTCCACCTAAAGTTCAAGTTTTTTGTTACTTATGATTTGTTGATTACTAAAAATAGCTTATGTCCATTTCATGAAGGTTTGGAGTTTTTTTGTTTAAAATGGCAGGGGTTATTGTTAGTATATCCTGCTGATTTGAAAAGGTTAATGAGATGGTGATTTTGATTTAAAATGAATGGATTGAAGAAATTTATCTGATTTTAATCAGTCTTTTGATTCAGCACAATAACTCTGTTTCTAACAATGATTGCAGAATGGAAGGAAGTTGTAGACATTATCCTAGTGGAACAATGCACCAGGTAAAGGCCTATAAGGAGATAAAGGAGTACTTAATTAACAACGTCATTACTTGCATAGATCAGGTAAGGGAGTATAAATTGTAATTTGCTTTTGAGATCTAGTAATTTAAAGGTATTAAGAAAGTTTTGTAATGGTTTCTTATAATTTTGCTTTTTAAGAGTTTGCTTCCAAGTTGGAACCCTTATATTACTTATTAATAAAATTTTCTTTTGCCCCAAAAACATTTCTTTACACATCACTATCATGTATGGTGATTCTATTTTCTATTTCATTACTTCTTGGGGAATGGAAGTGAATTCTATAGATACTCTCAGTCAATTAGTTTTTTTGTGGTGGAAGTGATCTTTATTTGTGGATGCTTGGGAACAAGAAATTCACATCAAACAAGAGACCATATTTATAATGCATGGTGATCATATTTTTTGTTTTAAACCTTCTTGGATAATGAAAATAACTATCTGAAATGGGTTTATCTGGTTTTGCAGGAATAAGGGTATTAAAAAAACCAAAGAGTAATTCATTGACTATTTGGAACTGTTGCTCATAGTGCACTTTTGAAATTACTAAAGGCTTTTAAGGTATCTATTCCTCTTCACTTGGTCAATTTTCAATTATTATTATTTATTTATTTTTATTTAACATAAACAAGTCAATTGCTCTGGTCTTCTATTACTTACGAATATTTTAATAAACTTGATAGGTTTGAAGCACTTGCAAAAGGAATTAAACAAACTACGATTACAAGAATAGAAGCACCAATGGATATGTTTACATGTTGGGAGGTATGATGAAACATGAAGCTCTTCAGAGAGCTTTGTAGCAAAACTCAAAGCTGATGTGAGAAAATCAGCATTTTTAGCATTTTTTTAAAAAATTTTAAAATCAAATGGGATTGGTGTTTTAACCGTCATTGAAGATAGAAGATAATGCATCGTGATGAATTATTTGAAGCAGTTGTAATATTTTTTATTTGAAATATTTTTGAGTGAGTTAGATATTGTTTTTATTGTATTGTGTCAGTGTTATGAACGTTATAGTTGTATTATACAAATGAAATTATAGATTTTTAGCTTATATAAGAGACTGATTAATGGAATTTTTGTTGTACTAAATTTTTGTGTGTGTTTATTTTTAAATTTTTAATGGCAGTCACAAATGCCACAAAGGCTTTGTTTGGGAAGCCAAAGGTTTTGCTTTTTTGGCTAAAATAGTCGCAAAAAACAAAATAGGCTTTTTAACCACAAAAAACAAAATATCACATTCAATCCATAATCATTACATTTTTTCTCTCACAAAAAAACCAAAAACTCTTCTCAAACGAGATTTTTTAGCCCAATTCTAAAATAGTAAAAAAAAAGTCAAAAAACCAACCCACTTCCCAGGCAAACCCTAAATGTGGCATATGAGTACCAACAAATAAGATAAGGTGACATTTCTAAATGCCACTAGTGAAAAATCTAGTGACACTTGGAAATGTCACCAGATGCATGCATAAAAGTGTCATAAATAATGTCTAATATGGCACTCAATTGTTCATAAATAATATTAATTGTGGTATAAGAAGTGCCATTAAAAAAGTATGTAGTGTCATTTTTTAGATTGTAAGTCTTGTCTAATGGTGTTTGGTAGTATCACAAATTGTGTGTAACATGATATTGAAATGTCAGTGAAAGCCTAGCCTTCATGGCGTAGTGGTACTTGCAAATGTCACCGAAATGCCGCTAGTATCTACTGTGGCATGGGTATACATTACACTTGTTGAAACGCCGCAAGACTAAAACATGTTACTAGAGGAATAGTTTTGTAGCACTTTCAAGTATTACTGAACTAAGAAAATGTTGTAGTGTCAAGTATAATTTAATGATGAAAAATTATAGAATGTAATCATGATGCTATAAATAAGAAATGGTAAGAAAAAAGACAAAATAGTCATTTAGAAAATTTTGAAGTATGACATCAACAATCTAAGGTAATTTGTAATAAGATTATGAACCTCAAGAGGAATGTAATTTTTCAAACGTGAGAGGATTTGTATTAAACAAAACATCAGGGGTGTCAGTGTAATTTACACCTTTTTTATTTTTATTTTTTAAATTTATTTTATTTTATTTTTTTGTAAATTTTATTTTATTTTTATTTTTATTATTATTATTTTTTTTTGGTGACAAATACAAAACCAAACATGTGAAAAAGAAAAAAGAGGGAGGGAATATGGCACCAACCATGGCACTAATTTGAACCGATAAACCCTCTCTCTCTCTCTCTCCCTCTCTCTCCATGTTGATGGAAGCTCTCCAAATCCGGCGACAACCACTACCCACAGACCTCCATTTGATGAACTCCATTTCCGGCAAATTCAGAGCAACAATTGGCTTGACTTCCGCTAAACTGAGGTGCTTCTGTGCTTCATCCTCCCCAAATTCGACAAGCACCAAGCTCTTTCTCTCTCTCTAATAATCCACCCACATGCCCCACTTTTTTCCCTTTACACAACACCACTCCCTACGCACTCACATCTTCTTATTATTTCTTTCATTTCTTTTTATTTTTCTTTCACTTTCCCATGCCCCACGATATTTCCCTTTCACAAAAAAAAAAAAAAAAAAAAAAAAACAAACTCTCTCGGCAGCTTTGACACATAAACAAATACACTAAAATAAACAATACCCACACTACACTGCTACACTATTCTGCCACACACTCCCACTTTCTATATTTTAATAAGATGAATGCCTCACTTTTCCACCACACATACATGCACGACATCCACTATCTCACCTTTATTTTCATTATTATAAAACACTACCCCAATTTTATATAAACTTTTCTATTCTCACTTTTCTCCACCACCCAACACCATCATCACATTTTCCACCGCCCAACTTTCTTTATTTTATATATATATATATATATATCTCTTTTTATTATATTCTATTACTCAAACTCTCCTCCATTTGATTTTAAAATCACTTATTTTTTATTTATTTTTTCCAAATCACTTTTCCTCCTTTTTACATACCCCCACTTTATTTTTGAAACAATCACACTGATATTTTTCATATAATCCATCTATACATATTTTTTTATCTATTTTCTTTCTCCCTTCATGTTCTTGACTAGGAAGATGGTCGAAGTCTTCAAATGGATGTGGGTCTCACCAAAATTATGGACCTTAACCTATTTTAAATTATGAGACAAACAGAAAAATGTCAATCCGTTTTGACAATTGGATCAAACAATTATTTCAACCCAAAGGCCTACAATTGTCAAAATTTGATGGAGGAATCATAATTTAAATTCAAATTCAAATAATTTCCAAAATAAGAGGCAAATTTCTTAAATCAAAATTAAATATTATTGTAATGGAATTTCCAAATTAACATTCCTTCAAGCCTATAAATAGAGGCCCCCATTAGGAAGAAGGGACCTTTTGGCTAAGATCTGGCAATATCTAAAGCATTCTCAAGACTCTGCCAAAATCTCTATTCAAAAAATTATCTCTAAAGTTCTTCAAAACTCAAGTGAAGGATTATCAAGCACTCCAAACTTGCACCAATCCTTTCAAGTTACAAATTTGCTCTATGTGTCCTGACCCATAATTTAAAGCTACAAATTTGATCTCTAATCAAAGAGATCGTTTCGAAGTTTGTTTGAGATCAAGCAATTCAAGCCTGAGATCAAGCCTCTTTTCTTTAAGTTTCTCTATTGGAAGACCTACAGAAATTCATCAACTCATTCAGTTCAACAGGAAGCTTCCATAGCCGTTGGATTACAACTCATCCCAAAGTAGGAAGAAAGGCCGAGGAAAAGTCGGTCGAAGATTTGGTGGAAGTGCGCATTGACGAGAACGATCCAACTAAATTCTTCCTCTTGGGATCATCCTTGTCTAACGCCGAGCAGATGGATTATGTCAGCTTCTTGGTTTCCAATTTGGAGGCCTTTTCCTGGACGCCTTACGACATGCCTAGCATCGACCCGAGCTTCATTTGTCATCAGTTGAATGTCTTCCCCAATGCACGACCAGTCATTCAAAGGACGCGCCACTCAGCCTTGCACCATGCTGAAGTGGTGGCAGAAGAAGTGAAGAATTTGTTGGAAGCTGGGGCCATAGAGGAGGTGCAATACCCTCGGTGGATATCCAACACGGTGGTTGTTCCGAAGAAGAACGGCAAGTGGCGAGTCTGCGTTGACTACAAGACTGTCAACCGAGCTTGCCCCAAGGATAGCTTTCCCCTCCCACGAATTGACCAGCTGGTGGACTTAACTGCTGGCCATCAGAGGTTTAGTTTCCTGGACGCATATCGCAGCTACCACCAGATAGCCATGTATAAACCGGACAGAGAGATCACGTCGTTCATAACCCCCAGAGGCTTATATTGCTACAAAGTCATGCCGTTCGGACTAAAGAACGCCGGGGCGACTTTTCAACGGATGGTGACAAAGATGTTCGCCCCAATACTGGGCTGCACCATGGAGGCCTACATCGACGATATGGTGGTGAAAAGTAAGGAGAAAGCTCAGCACCTCTCCAACCTAGCAAAGATGTTTGCTATACTTAAACGCCACAAGCTTCGTTTGAATGCTTCCAAATGCGCCTTCGAAGTCGGCACCAGGAAGTTTTTGGGTTTTCTGGTCACAAATCGAGAGATTGAAGCTGACCCATCACAGATCAAGGCTATACAAGACCTGGAGCGTCCTAACTCCACGAAGGACGTGCAACATCTTGCCGGGATGACAGCCGCGTTGAACAGATTTATCAGCCGGTCTTCGGATCGTTGCAGGCCCTTCTTTAAACTTTGAAGTCCAAGTTCTTCTGGGATGACGAGTGCGACCGAGCACTAGCATACCTGAAAGCATATCTCGACTCTGCTCCCAGCCGAAACGAGATATCTTCCCTTGGAAAAATTGGCGCTGGCCCTAATGATGGTGTCAAGAAAGCTGGCACACTATTTTCATGCCCATACAATAATTGTGTTAACCAAGTTCCCGCTCAAAGTACTTTTTGAAAATGTAGACTTCACTGGGAGAATTCTGAAATGGGCTGTGGAACTAGGACAATATGACATCAAGTTCCGACCACGCACCGCAATCAAGGCTCAAGCACTTGCTGACTTTGTGGCGGAATTTGCCCCTGGGATGCATCCAGTATGCCCGATTGATTTGGTTGGTGCGGATTTAGCACAACCCATGGTTCTGGCAACAAAAACAAGTGTTGGTTCGCAAGTAGGAAAAGGGACGAGCACGACCGAACTAACAAAGTCCGGCGAGAATGAACCCAACCAAGACAAGAAAAGAGACCAGAATGAACCGATCAGAGACTTGGAATTGAGAAGCTCTCAGAACCCCTCTGATTGCTGGAAGCTGTTTATTGGCGAGATGTGGAAGCTCTTCGTTGATGGGGCATCCAACAGACATGGGGCCGGGCTGGGCATCGTGCTGAACTCACCGGACAGCCTGGTCATCGAGCAGGCAATTACACTTGGCTTCCCGGCATCCAACAACGAGGCTGAGTATGAAGCTCTCCTTGCCGGACTAACAAGCGCGCTAAGAATGAAAGCCACAGCCCTTATGGTATTCAGTGATTCCAAGTTGGTGGTCAATCAGGTCTCAGGGAAGTATGAGGCAAAGGACGAAAGAATGGACAAGTATCAGGCGCTGGTACGTGTAGAGATCAAGAAGTTCGCTACAATAAGGATGGAACAAATCGACCGCGAGGAAAACAGCGCGGCTGATGAATTGGCCGGACTTGCTTTTGCTCAGACAGCTTTTCCTAACCCCTTGATGATAGAATTTTTACCCCGACCAAGCATTGAGGAACCAGAATCAGCCGAGGTACTCTGCACCGATTTGGGTCCTTCTTGGATGGATCCCATCGTCGCCTTCCTGAGAGATAGAGTTCTGCCGGAAGAAAAGAAGACGGCCAACAAGGTCCGAGCCAAGTCAGAGCGGTTTTGGCTCTCCCCTTCCAGAGCCTTGTATAAGAAGTCTGTCACCGGGCCGTACTTGAAGCGTGTTCACCCCTCTAAGGTGGAGGCCTTCCTCTATGAGATCCATGAAGGCATCTGCGGCAGCCATACTGGGGGCAGATCTTTGGCCTACCGAGCGATTTCTCAGGGCTACTGGTGGCCATGCATGCAGGCGGATGCGCAGAAGTACGTTCGCCGGTATGAAAAATGTCAGAAGTTCGCTCATCAAATCCATCAGCCAGCAAGAGAACTGCTCCTCCCTACCAGTCCTTGGTCGTTCGCACTCTGGAGATTGGACATAGTGGGGCCACTCCCAGTGGCCCCGGGCAATTGGAAGTTCTTCATCGCTGCCACTGACTACTTCACGAAGTGGGTTGAGGCCGAGCCATTGGTGACCATAAAGGAAAAGGATGTGAAGAAGTTTGTATGGCGAAATGTCATCACCCGTTTTGGTATACCCAAGGCCCTCATCTCAAATAACGGCACTCAATTCGATGGAAAACTCTTTCGCGGATTTTGTGAAGAGTTGAAGATCGAGTTTTACAATTCAATGCCGGCCTATCCTCAGACAAATGGTCAAGCCGAAGCTTCAAACAAGACCATCCTGGACGGGTTGAAGAAGCGGCTTGAGAAGGCCAAGGGCAAGTGGGCAGAAGAACTCCCTAATGTGCTCTGGGCATACCGCACTACGCCAAGGCGGTCGACCGAGGAAACACCATTTGCTTTGGCCTGTGGCATGGAGGCCGTCATCCCATTAGAAATGGGCATGCCAACCATCCGCTCTAAAAATTTCCAGCCAAATCTAAATAATGAAGCGGTGGCATTGGAGCTGGACCTTGCTGAAGAAAGGAGGGAGCAAGCATTGATCCACATAGCAGCTTATCAACAAGAACTCTCCAAAAAGTACAATAAGGCTGTGCACCCCAGGCTATTCAAGATTGGGGACTGGGTATTAAGAAAGGTGCTTGGCAACACGGTGGTCCCGGGTGAAGGAAAGCTCGGTGCAAATTAGGAAGGACCATACAAGGTGATTGGTCTCTCCGGCAAAGGGGCATACCATTTGGAAGATTCGGATGACAAGGCTGTCCCCCGACCTTGGAACGCAGCCAATCTTAAGGTCTTTTACTTTTAAGATGTAATCGCTTTTGTTGTTTAGATTTATGTAACTTTGAGCCTCTTGGCATTTTGATGTAAGAGATGTAGCACGATATTATGTAATGAAAATTAGCCCTCTTGTTGTCCGGTATTACATCTCTGTACAATGACATCGCAAGGATACAAGACAATTATGGCTGCCAGGGGCAAGGAGACCGACCTGAATAGGACCGGACTAATCTCCTCTCGCTGGAATGGAAACAGGCCGCACAAACAGTTGGTGCTTTGTCCAAAGAAATGATTGGCAAATGAACCAATTCAGATATGGGCCCAGTTGGGATTTGCTCGGCCAACGGGAATGTTGGCAACATGACCAACCTAAATGAAACATTGGTGTTTTGCCCAATGTAGCGGCCGGGCTGACTTTGCTCGGCCAGATTTGGCATGTTGGTGTTTTGTCCAACAAATGAGAAGCCGAGCTGACATTGCTCGGCAGAAGTGAAATGTTGGTGATCTACCCAACTGAAAGGGCGAGCTGGTTTTTGCTCGGTCACATTGAAGTACTGGAATTTTATAAAGTTTGAAAACCCGTCAAGGCCGAGCTGATTTTGCTCGGCCCCGTTCATGAGCCCTTAATTTCGAGCTAAGCAGATTTTGCTCGGCATTTTAAAAGGTGCATTTGAAATTTCAAGGAGCCGAGCTGCTAGATGAAGTTTGAACACGTTTAAGGAAATTTTGCACGTTGAAGCCAAAAAGCAATAGAAGTTAAACGGGCAAAAAGTTCAAAAATTTCATTCATTGAGAAAGTTGCAGTACATAAGGGCGGACATAGCCCGGTTACATTCCAAAACAAAGAAAGGAAGTAAACAAAAAACAAAGAAAATAAAGGCAGAGTTCAATCTAATTCTAGTTCAGCTGTCTGTTCGGCGACTTGCACAGTTTGCTCGGCCTCCTCCACATTGCGCTCGGGCAGGTTTTCTTCGGCCTCATTGTCAGCACCCTCCACCGTGACAACCTCCCGGTCAATAACTTCTTCATCGTCGGCATCTTGAGATACTGCAGGAGAAGTTTGCTCGGTTTGCTGTGCGGCGGCAGCTTCTTCCTCGGCTTCTTTCCGTGCCTCTGCGATAAGCCGGTTTTGAGTGGCCTGGGAGTACGCCAGCATATAGACCGGGATATAGGCCGTAGGTGGATTTACGAACATGTCAGAATCCTATCCAAGGCCAACTTTCTCCACGGCAGCTTTCCAGCCGCACTGGAAAAAGATGTCCTTGGTCGCTTGGACCTGCCGCTCATAAGTTTTCTCCCCCTGAGCGTATCCCCGGTCCTCGACGTCATCCACAGCTTTGTCCTTTTCTTCTTTGTGGGCATCGCGCAGCTTACGCAGCTCTGCGAGGTACCGGGCTTTATTTGACTTCATGGCCCTTTGTTTGTCCGCTTCAGCTCGGTCAACCTTCAGGCGCAGTTCATCTCCCTCGGCCGCAACTACATCTTGCGCGGCCTTGAGTTTCTCTATCTCGACCTTTTGAACCTTGTTTTTGGCAATGGCATCCCGAAAGCTCTGCCGCACTTTGATCATTCGGTCATGGGCCAAATAGTTCTTTTGCGCGGCCTGAAAACAAGCGAGAGATCATGAGTATTCGAGAAATTGAGCAAAAACCGAGCAAACAGTTTGAAGCAAAGAATGGAGACCTTACCAGCACTATGGATTTTGCCGCCGAACGGAGGACCGTGAGGTCGGAAAGCTCGTCGTGTTTTTTATATCAGCGGGCAAGATCAACCCCTTGGTCAAATTGAAACCAAGCGAGTAGTCCTTGTCCGCGTAGACAGAGTCTTCAGCAGAAACTGTTCAGCCCTGGTATTTGAACTCGGGCGCCCAGACTGGGGGGGTGGCTGGGCCCTTGGATTTGCCGGTCTGTGGTTGCTCGGTCTGGTCCCCGAGCTCAATGGAGACGCGATCGGTAGAGTCTTTATCTGCCAGACGTGGCCCGGTTTGCTCCTTTCTCGGCCACTTCTTGGACCGACCAGCCGGTTGCTCGCTGGCAAGTGCCAGTACTGCCCCTTCTTGTTGCCCGGCGGGTGTGGAGGATGTCCCCCCGGTTGCCTCTGGTTTTTGGGACTCGCCTTCTTCCCCGGTGATCATGGACTTGATAGCCTTGATTTTTGCCATTTCTTGCTCGGCGGTGAGTGGAACAAGCCTGATCGGTGGTAGGTTCGGATCTGGTTTTGGGGTTGGCACACGCAGAAAGTCGGTAACCCGGCTCTTGCGTGGTGCGGTGTAGTGGTATGTCTGTTCGAAGCCGAGCAGTTTCGAAGCCTCCCTCTCCTCGGCAAGATGGCACAGCAGGGCTCTGATGGCCTCTTGGTTGGCCTGGTGGTAGTCTGCTGCTAGGTGCTTATCTGCAAAAAGAAGACAAGTGTTAGATCGGCATGGAAAGTAATTGATGCATAAAGAAAATAGCGCGGTCAGCCGAGCGACTCACCGGCACTGCCAAAATCCTTTCTAATATACCATCCCGGTATGGGGGCCTCGGTGTCCTCGTAGCGATCGGACACCCACAAGAAGTCGTTGTCGTTGGTCTCCTTGTCTGGGTTGCCCTCTATTAGCTTTGCTCGGCCCTTCTTGACTTTGAGGTACCAGCAAAGCCCACTCTTATTTCTACTTAGACTATACTGATGGAAAATTTCAGCCAGACCGAGATTGAGACCGAGCCTCCGGTTTTGCTCGGCGACTCCGTTTATTATTTTGTAAGTGTTATTTGAAACTTGGGTCGAGCAAAGCCTTGTCTGCCTCAAAAATTCGCAGATCAAGGGTTGAACCGGGAAGCGGAGCCCTCCCTCTACTATTGATACGACGGTGAAGGGGCACCGGTCTAGATCCCCCCAAAGGGTGTCTTCCTTTTTGGCGAGCTCTAAGACGACGTCATCTGGGATGTTGTACTCCCTACGAAACTCGGCCATCGCACCGGGCGAGCTCACCATGAATCGGTACTTGCCCATCTATCTCGGTTTTATTTGGTGAACTAACTTGTATCTCGGACAAAAATGTTGGTGTGTTTGCTCGGACTTTGAGCTCCACCAATTATAGTTCTGGACTGGCTTGGTCGGCCCTATTTGTTCTGCATGTTAAAAAATAATTCCAAGGGTTAGCACAGCATAAATTGCGCGGCCCCTATGGGAATTGGCTCAGTGAAGGGATTGTTAGTGTTTGGCCGGTTCGACCCCTACCTCGGCTAGGCTACTTGGTCGATTTCCTAGTTCGGTTCTAACTCTCCACTTCTGGCTCGGTCAAGGTCCAAGAAGGAGATGCTAACAAAGTTATAGCTCGGTCGGGTCTTATTTGACGAACTAACTGAGCCTTTAGCTCGGTCAAGGCCCAAGTAACGACCTCAAGTTTTCGCCCTATTCAGTTCTATTACCGGTCTAATTGGTAGTTCAGTTCGGCTACAGCCTCTACGAGAAGCCACAAATCGGCCGTAGTATCATTTATGGATCTAAACGAGCGTTTAGCTCGGTTCTACCCAGATTCAAACTGTTCATCCCAGAGATAGGATGAACTCGTTCGAACCCAGGAGAAACAAGGGGCACGAAAGCCCCATCCATTCCTACTATTTTTGTTTGCCCTAGGGTGTGCAAGATCTAAGCAAGGGAAAGCAACTCTAATGGCCCGAAGCATAAACATAAAGAATACAAGCACAAAAAAGTGGAAAACTTGAGGAACTCGAGTACGAGAGTTTGAAGGAAGGGTAGGAGGACTTACCAAATACCAGATGCAAGAACAGGGCCTCTCGAACTTGGTTGTGACCTCACGAGAAACAAAAAATAGGAACGGAAGCAGGTGAGATGCAGCGGCAGGTGAGATGCAGCGGCAGTGAGGGCAATTTCTCAGAGAATATGGAAGTTAGGGTTTAGGGTTTGTGTGGAAGAGAAGGTGAAAAGTGAAGGGTTTTAGGCCCTTCGTTGGAATACAAAAGAGGGGGGAAGGAACCCAAACGGCTGCGCCGTTTAAATTCTACGCGTGCAGAACAGCTGGCTGCACGACCCAATGGCGTAAAGCCACGTGGCACTGGGAACGCGACTGTCAGTACGGCTGTACGACCTTTGATGAGACTACGGAGGAAATAGCCGACCAAATGGGACAACTCGGTGACAGGTATGCCCCCAATCGTGCTCGGCTTGGTAATGGCGCAACTCATCCATTAGCTCGGTCACGATGGTAACCCCAATCACGACTAGGTCAGATGGGGTTAAGGGGCAATTGAGAGGGGAGGTGAATGGAACAAGCCTGATCGGTGGTAGGTTCGGATCTGGTTCTGGGGTTGGCGCACGCAGAAAGTCGGTAACCCAACTCTTGCGCGGTGTGGTGTAGTGGTATGTCTGTTCGAAGCCGAGCAGTTTCAAAGCCTCCCTCTCCTCAGCAGGACGGCACAGCAGGGCTCTGATGGCCTCTTGGTTGGCCTGGTGGTAGTCTGCTGCTAGGTGCTTATCTGCAAAAAGAAGACGAGTGTTAGATCGGCATGGAAAGTAATTGATGCATAAAGAAAATAGCGCGGTCAGCCGAGCGACTCACCGGCACTGCCAAAGTCCTTTCTAATATACCATCCCGGTATGGGTGCCTCGGTGTCCTCATACCGACCGGACACCCACAAGAAGTCGTCGTCGTTGGTCTCCTTGTCCGGGTTGCCCTCTATTAGCTTTGCTCGGCCCTTC